TATATATATATATTAGTAAAACAAAAAAATGACAAAAGCACATAACAAAATTGCTAAAAATTAAATTACACTTAAATAACAGCTAATTCATAATATTAATAAATACTAAAATAACAACTGCCTCAAAGACTGTAATATAATAGTTATGCTATATGTAAGAAATATGTACAGAATATGCGCAAAAATTGTTTAATTAATATTGTATGGTCCATCTTCTCTCTCTGTGCATCTTCAGCTGTATAATGAGGAGGTGTTGGATCTTTTTGACACCACACGTGATATGGAGATGAGGAAGCAGAAATCGCACATTAAAATCCACGAGGACGCCAGCGGCAGCATCTACACTGTAGGCGTGACAACACGCACTGTCTCCTCAGAGCTAGAAGTGAGAGTCATCGCTTTCTTTTCCAAGATGTTGTACCCATGTATTATGCATGAAGTGTAAGTGACTGTACTGATGTGTGTGTTGTAGATGATGCAGTGTCTACAGCTGGGCGCTCTCTCCCGCACCACTGCTAGCACTCAGATGAATGTACAGAGCTCTCGATCTCACGCCATCTTCACCATTCACATCTGCCAAGTGCGCGTTTGTGCTCCCGCTGAAAACGTAAGTACCGTCTGAAGTACAAGTTATTGGGGTCACATTCCTACAGCTGCCATATTTAGTAGAAATACACCAAAATTTGGGCTGGAGAAGATGCCATTGTTGAACAAATCATGCATGTTTTTCTCAGCCGCCAGAGCAGGACGGTGAAACAGACAATCGACTGGCCAACAGCTCGTCTGAGGTGGAGGAGTTTGAAACGCTCACAGCCAAGTTTCACTTTGTGGATCTGGCTGGATCAGAGAGACTGAAGAGGACGGGGGCCACGGGCGACCGAGCCAAAGAGGGCATCTCCATTAACTGTGGATTGGTCAGAACGAGTAATATTAATAAATTCTAACACAGAATAAAAATGTATATTAATCCCCTACTCTTTAGTCTAGAAAAATGTAACATAAGTTGAACTGAAACTGAACATGAGATTTTTTTGGCTGAATTGTTCTGGCTGTGATGCAGCTGGCATTAGGTAATGTCATCAGTGCTTTAGGAGACCGAAGCAAACGATCAACGCATGTGCCTTACCGAGACTCCAAACTCACTCGCCTTCTGCAGGACTCACTGGGAGGAAACAGGTCTGTGTGAAACTTGTTCACCCAAAACATTATTATGACATCAAAATTTGTTCTTGAAAGTCTCTTGCCCAAACATTGTTGATGTCAAACCTGACAAATGGTGACATATTTGAATATTTCAGCTTCTAATAGTAACTTGTTGTTGAATTTAAAGTCAGTCTAATCAGCGAGATGATTTCTGAAGACTTGAAATCTAACACACAAATATATAAAATCTTCTAAATTTTTTAATATGAAAAAAAAAACAGTAATATTGAGTTAAGATTCTGCAAACGTTAGTAGGAAGCCCTTTTCACGGTATTTCTCATGAACGGTCTATACATTTGGAATAACAGTGTAATAACAGGATAATAACCATTTTTGAGGTTATTTAATCAAAATGATAATGTCAACATTAGGAAAGCATTTTTTACAGTGTATTGCAATGCAGCAGACTTCAACCACATCCAGACAAAACATTTATTTGGCACTGTAGCATTAGTCTGTATGAGTAAATAAGTCAAGCTGGACATTTTCTCTGGTCTCTCAGTCGAACAGTGATGATCGCCTGCACCAGCCCATCAGATCAGGACTTCATGGAGACCTTGAACACACTGAAGTACGCTAACAGAGCACGCAACATCAAGAACAAGGTAGTGGTGAACCAAGACAAGGCCAGCCAGCAGATCAGTGCACTCAGGACGGAGATCGCACGGCTGCAGGTGGAGCTCATGGAGTATAGAACGGTGAGATTCTGCTTTCAACTAAAAGTATAGCTCTGATAGCAAGATGTTAGAACCTTATATGCGAGTTGGCTTTCAGTTGCAGCATGTCTTTAGAGTATCCTCAAAATATATATTTTAGTCATGAAAATCTAGATGCATGGCTGATGGGTCCTTTACATGCAATCTGCTATATAACATTTACTACATGGCACAAGTTGACTGGTCTCTACTCATTCTGCAGCAAGTGAGATGCTTGCTCAACATTAAAATATTTTGGTTCATAAGTTTGCTGTAAGCTGGTCCTGCAGCGCACTTTCAGAGTTCATCTGGAACCCTCCACCTCCCCAGCACCACCTGTCTAGATCTGCTACAGGATGTATGCATACATGCAGTGTGTTTGTGTATCTATTGGCAATAGCAAGTCCAGCAGCAGCATACATAGCAGATCTAGTAGGCCACAACCAAATGCATTAAAATTGTCACATCCATTAGCATGCTAAAACTATTCAGTCAGTTAATGAGTAATGGTTCAAGATCTGACCTACAAATACTGATTTTAGAGGTTCAATTTCAAGTATAGGTGACCCAGATACTGTAGAATTACTGAACGTGAACTTTCAGATGTATATCATACTATAATAAAATAAAAATAAGTCCCCAAAATCACAGGCAATCTGATTGTCTGGCTTCTGCATAATTCCTGGAGTCAGGACGGATGGGTTTATATCACTTCACTTGGAAACAAATTTGTTTTACGAGTTCCCACAGCACTACAATAAGCACTTCTGAAGAATGACTAGTCACAGGGGTCCAACAAAATACCCCAGCAATAATTGGTAGTCATTTTTAACACCCAGTCTTCAAATCTTTGAGATTTTCTCTCCACTTAATGTCACTTGAAGAGCCAACTCTTGGTTGTTTTATTGTCAATAGGCCATTCACACAAAACTCATCTTTGGGTTGAGAGACATGAGAGGTAAAATGCAAAAAGGTCCATTAGGTAGTGCCTGCATGCTAAACATGCTCTGGATGAAGTGTAATGCACAAAAGGAAGTATGCAGGGGCCTTTATAGTATTTTTAATTGTAGTGTGAGCTACAGTATAGTATAGTGTACACAGTATAGTGTCAGCTAAGAAATGGTAAAACATTATGCTATTTTTTACATCAGGCTTTACCAATTTAAGGGCTTGCAAACCCCTGGAGGTTCATGATGAAATTTCGGGGAACTTTTTTTTTTTTTTTCTTTTCTTTTTTTTAGTTTAGAACTTTATTAATCCCCTTGGGGCAATTAATTCAGACTTTAGTGATACTTCACATATACAACACTTAACACACACATACATATATTTAAAATACACCAAATAAAAAACAAAAAAACAACAACAAAATATTTATTCATTAAATAAATAATCTAAATCAACTAGATTTATTACATAAACGTATTGCTTCAGGCACAAAAGTAAATTTGTACCGGTTTGTGGAACATCTAATTGACCTTAAACGTCGCCCAAGGGGCATCCACTCAAAATAATCATTCAAAGGGTGTGTGCAGTCTCCTATAATTTTATGTGCCATCCTCATCACTTGCTGTTCATAATAAAATGTAAGACTTCGCAAGGGAACACCTACAATTTTTGAGCACATATTAACAATACCTTGCAAACGATTTTTGTTCTTTGTAGACAATAAGGAAAACCAACAAATAAAGGAAGAGGACAATATATGATCGTCTCTTTCGTTTTTGACACATTCAAATCTAATTTCATCCTAATACACCATAAAATAAAATCATCCAAAACCAGACCATATTCCTGATCTGGATATGACAGCAAAGACAGAAGCACAGTATCGTCTGCATATTTTACCAAATAACTATTATTGTACAAACTCTGACAATCATTTGTATACAATATGAATAGAACAGGAGAAAGTACACATCCTTGTGGTGAACCTATAGAAATATTTAACATGTCCGATAAGACCCCATTAACTCTAACCCTTTGTTTCCAGGCGGTTAAAAAATGAATAATCCATCAAACTAAACCAAGATTAAAATTAAACTGACTAATATGTTTTTGCCCTAAAATAATAGGCTGCAAAAAATTTAATGCAGACGAAAAGTCCACAAACAAAAGCCACGCAAAGGCTCCACTATTTTCCAGATGTCGACTGACAGCATTCAACAAAAATGACAGCAAAGACAGAAGCACAGTATCGTCTGCATATTTTACCAAATAACTATTATTGTACAAACTCTGACAATCATTTGTATACAATATGAATAGAACAGGAGAAAGTACACATCCTTGTGGTGAACCTATAGAAATATTTAACATGTCCGATAAGACCCCATTAACTCTAACCCTTTGTTTCCAGGCGGTTAAAAAAATGAATAATCCATCAAACTAAACCAAGATTAAAATTAAACTGACTAATACGTTTTTGCCCTAAAATAATAGGTTGCAAAAAATTTAATGCAGACGAAAAGTCCACAAACAAAAGCCACGCAAAGGCTCCACTATTTTCCAGATGTCGACTGACAGCATTCAACAAAAACAGTTTTGCATCCTCTACGCCTCTTCCAGCACGATATGCAAACTGCAACGGATCTAAAAGTGGTCCAGCAACTGTCATCACATATTTTTTTATCTCTTTTTCAAAAGCCTTCATGACCAAAGAAGTCAAGGCAATAGGACGGTAGTCACAAAGGCTCCACTATTTTCCAGATGTCGACTGACAGCATTCAACAAAAACAGTTTTGCATCCTCTACGCCTCTTCCAGCGCGATATGCAAACTGCAACGGATCTAAAAGGGGTCCAGCAACTGTCATCACATATTTTTTTAATCTCTTTTTCAAAAGTCTTCATGACCAAGGAAGTCAAGGCAATAGGACGGTAATCATTCAATGATTTTGACTTAGCTTTTTTAGGTATAGGTACAATAATTGAGCTTTTCCACAAATCAGGTACCAACCCTTGATCTAGAGAAGATTGAAAAAGTAAGTGGGAAAACTCCACTAAGCTGTTCAGCACAGTGACTCCGTGTTCTACCACATATGCCATCTGGGCCTGGGGCCTTATTAAGCGGTGTAGCCTTCAAATGTTTCAATATATCTAATTGATTCAATTTAAAATTATTAGAAGAACTGATGTTATCTTTAAAAAGTGCCATCTTATTAATATTATCTATAAAAAGTGCCATCTCATCACCTACAGCAGATGTATCAAAACGAGAAAAAAATTCATTATACTTAGAAGAAAATTAGCATCATAATTCTCCATAGGGATTTGTTGATTTGATACCCATGTACTTACTTCAGCCATACTCTTAATTCCTTTCCAGGCTGCTTTAAGATTACCTTGCATAAACACACCCTCAATCTTATTTTTATAATTATTTTTAGCCATTTTTATTGCCCTTTTGACGTCCCTGTTTATCTGTTTTTTCTCCTCATTAGTTCCTGAGAGAAATATACTCTCTTCTTCATATTCAGTATACCTTTTAACTCCTTCGTAACCCAAGGTTTATTATCGGGATACAAGGTGATCTTTTTTGTAGGTATGACAGAATCGACACAAAAAGCAATCTAGTTAGAAACGGTGTGCACCTGTTCATTAAGATCAGAGCATGTGTTCAAAAACATATTCCAATCTGTGCAATCGAAACAACCCTTTAAAACTTCAATATTAGAAGGTGTCCAACAAATCGTTCTCGAACAAATCGTACTTCTCTCTTCGCTTGCTTAACAATAGGAACATACAGAGAAGACAACATGATTATATTATGATCAGATGAACCAAGTGGTGGTAGTGACAGAGACCTATAAGCTTCCGGAATCGGGCCATAACATATATCCAAAACTTTATCAGCACGGGTAGCACATGTAACATATTGATAATAGCCCTTTAAATATTTGTCCATGATACAATGATTAAAATCACCTAAGTTAAATAGAAATACCAATGCTGAATTAAATTTAATAAAGATGTATAAATAAATCAAAACATTTGAACTAGAACACTGTGATCATATAAAAATGAACATTACGTTAAAACCTCAAGGGTACTTCAGCTAAATAATTTAAGACATGGGGTTCAGCTAATAAATAATATTGAGATGCTTTTATATGAGTAGTTTGTGTGAATGTTGTATTGTATAAAGCGCTGTATAAACAAAGGTGACTTGACTTGAATGTTTGGTAAATTAAATAAAATGGTCTTGTGTTTCTCAGGGGAAGCGTATGGTTGGAGAGGATGGACTGGAAAGCATCAACGACATGTTCCATGAGAACTCGATGCTGCAGATAGAGAACAATAATCTGCGCATGCGCGTGAAGGCCATGCAGGAAGCCATCGATGCTCAGGGCGCTCGGCTCACGCAGCTGCTCAGCGAACAGGCCTATCAGGTGCTCTCCAGAGCAGGTACAGCACGGCAAATACGACCAGTCAAAGACTTCGTAAGATGTCTGATAGATGTTGACAGAATAAGCATTATGTTTTCCAGGTGAAGGCAGTGAGGAGATTGGAAATATGATTCAGAATTACATCAAGGAGATTGAGGACCTGAGGTATTTTTACATTTTTGCTGACATCCTACTGTATATGAGGCTAATATGTGACCCTGGACCACAAAACCAGTCTTAAGTGTCAATTTCTCGAAATTGAGATTTATACATCATCTGGCCGAGATACAACTACCGTATTGAGTGAAGTTCTTAGCAATGCATATTACTAATCAAAAATTAAGTTTTCATATATTTACGGTAGGAAATTTACAAAATATCTTCATGGAACATGATCTTTACTTAATATCCTAATGATTTTTGGCATAAAAGAAAAATCTATAATTTTGACCCATACAATGTATTGTTGGCTATTGCTAAAAATGTACCCCAGTGACTTGAGACTGGTTTTGTGCTCCAGGGTCACAAATTATAACAGAGTGTCTATTTACACTAGCTCCACCCACAAACGTGTGATAGGGATGGTCAGCACTATAGAAGACGGCCGTTAATCGTCAGCTTCAGTGGCGAAGATGGAAAAGCGCGTACCGTAGTCTTTTTGATGGATCAACCTGTGTTCGAATCCGCCTTTTACCGAACGTTTTTCTCTCTCTTTTCAAATCTCATATCACATCGGAAAGGCATTTATTTTCAATAAAAATGAAGGAAATAATCAAAAAGTTGAAAATAAAGTATCGGGTAGGGTTAGGGTAGGTGTAAGGAGGGCTTTATTGTCCCAATTAGGTGGCATCCATTTAATAATTTGAATTAAAATTAAATTTTACACTTAATACGTTATTACTGCATAATGTTTTATAATGTACTATAATACTGAGGTGCAGATAATTGCCACTATTTGCGATAAGTAGTATAAATAGCAGAAAATCCTGCTATTTTAACAGTGTAAATAGCATCCATCACTATTTGCACTTAGTGTAAATAGCATCTATCGCTAAGAAAATATGCTATTTAGTGCAAATATTCGCTGCCAATATTATAAAATCTACTGTTTTTGGTTGTACTTTTATACCTATTAATGTAGAACTGCTAAATAAACTTTATTTATTTATGTATTTAATAAAACATGTACTCTACATTTTTTTGTGTGTGTATTACAGAGCCAAACTTCTGGAGAGTGAAGCAGTGAATGAAAACCTGAGGAGAAACCTCACGCGAGCGTCCAGCCGTCCTCCGTTTTACGGATCGTCTGGAAGTTTTTCTCCGGCGCTGCTGGGGCCCGACCCGAGCCGAGAGACCTCCGACATCATTGAGATCGCCAAGAAAGATCTGGAGAAACTGAAGAGGAAGGAGAAGAAGAAAAAGAAGAGGTAAAAAGAGGGTGAAAGTGATCTCAGTCTGAGGTGGTAATATTTTGTAATAATAATAAAACAATTAGTACACATACTGAAAATACATGGAAAAAATGGATGATAAAGGATGACAAATACACAGATAAAGCAGCAATCACACATCTAATGCAAAACATTTGCTCTTCAATTTGTTGAATCAGTGCTCAAATGTTCCTGTCTTTGTGAAATTTTTCCCACAACGTTTTTGTGTTGTTTTATGCAATTGAAGACTAAATCTAGTGAACTCTAGTAAACAAAAAAAAACCTACAGAGATATCATATCAGCCATAATATATATATTAAAGGGGTCATGAATTGAGAAATCAGCTCTTACTTGAGCTTTTGATTTATAAGAGATCATCGTACTAAAAGAATATCCTGCAAGTTTCAGAACTGAAAACGTCCTTGTTTCTGAAATCAAAGCTTTTATTGACACCAGGCCCAGCGAACGCCAGAAGAACATCAACGGCTAATTCTGTAGCCCCGCCCACTGATTCACGCATGACATAGTAGGGAAATAACATGAGTGGCGCTAAACCGGATCGGGCAACATGCCGTTAAAGATCGCAAAATATAGTGCAGTGCCTGGTTGTGGAAGAACACAGTCGCTGCATAACCTTCCTTCTGATTCAGATATTAGGAATGCATGGTTGCTTTATTTTTAATGAAGTTTCAGCTCACGCGAGTAAAACATTGAGCGTTTGTTCGCTTCATTTCACCGCGGATTCCTTTGTAAACAAGACACAGGTCGACGCTGGATTTGCAGAGAGACTGAGATTAAAAAGCAATGCTGTGCTGTGCATTAGATCTGACAGGAATGGCGCAGCACACTTATGTGAGTAAAACATATTTGTACTGTGTGTCACTATTGGTTTGTTAGCGATCGCTTGATATGTCCTGATTATGTGTTTGTGTCTAAAGTCACAGTAGGCTCCAACTATGAAGGACGTAGCTTGTCAAACAGACACAAAGAAAGGTAGTTTATGATGCAAAACTATTATCCAATCACAGCAGTGGGCGTTTACTTCCAAGTAGGGCTGTGCAAAAAATCGAATACTGACAAGCTACGCAAAATCGCGTTCATAATTGGCAATGAATCGTCTGCGATTTTGAACGCGATTTTGCATAGCGTGTCAGTGAACTACGGCTCTGTGTAGTAAATGCCGCTCCATCTGAAAGCACGTGCTGGAGATTTACTACTAATCACAGAACCGGCTTTACTGACGAGATGCGCATGAAAATAACATTTGATTTTTTGCACAGCCCTACTTCCAAGTCTTCAATGCGGCACGCAAAACCCAGCGTTTCTCGAGCCGGCCTCAAAACCAGGGTAGAAAATTGCCTATTACTTATTGATTTTGATGTTTTTGAATGTAAAC